AAAATAAAATTTTAAACCAGACTTCGACTCGAGTCCGTTTGTAATGTGAAGGCGTTGTCATGGAAACAGGAACTCATGCTGGACTTCCCTTTAGTCCAACGGTGTTGGTACATGGACAACACATTGGGTCAGTGAAGGTCATAGGTCATAGAGCCACGTTCTGTCACAGAGGGACATGTGGTCCAACGGCATCAACAGTTCTTTAGAACCATTTCTTATACAGACAGTGTCAGTGTCAGCCAGAACTGTCTGGTCCAGGAAGACTAGAGTACTAGTCTGGTTCTGGTCTGGTTCTGGTCTGATACTGGTCTGATACTGGTCCGGTTCTGGTCCAGTTCTGGTCCGGTACTGGTCCGGTTCTGGTCTGGTACTGGTCCGGTTCTGGTCTGATACTGGTCTGGTACTGGTTTGATTCTGGTTTGATTCTGGTCTGGTACTGGTCTGATACTGGTCCAGTTCTGGTCTGGTTCTGGTCCGGTACTGGTCTGGTTCTGGTCCAGTTCTGGTCTGGTTCTGGTCCGGTTCTGGTCTGGTTCGGTACTGGTCTGATACTGGTTTGATTCTGGTCTAGTTCTGGTTCTGGTCTGGTACTGGTCTGGGTCTGGTCTGATTCTGGTCTGGTACTGGTCTGATACTGGTCCGGTTCTGGTCCTGTTCGGTTCTGGTCCGGTACTGGTCCAGTTCTGGTCCGGTTCTGGTTCTGGTCTGGTTTGATTCTGGTCTGGTACTGGTCTGATTCTGGTCCGGTCTACACAGGGAAGCCCAGCTGACAGAATAAACAGCACTTTCAAGTATTATGTGAATATTTTAGAATATTCCACTGCTGTACAGTAGGTGGGAGTGTGTTCAACATTTTTAATGTCAGGTGAAACGTCACTGAACACAGGTGTCACTGTGGAGCAGGAATAGCACTCATTTGTTCTTCTTCTGTGGCAACGAGAGTGGCGTGACTTGACCTCCTGAAGATCAGAAATGAAGAGTCATCACATCCACGCAGAAACAGAAGAAGAGTTTCAGATAAAACCTTGATTATATTTTATATATATTTATATTCCAACGTACCTCCTGTAACAGACGAAGACGACTCCGACTAGAGCACAGGTGACGGTTAGTGCAGCACAGACAATCACTGCTGCTGTGGTTTGGTTGAGTCCTGGAAGAGAGGAGAGCTGAGCTGAACTGTACCGTACTGAACTGAACTGTACTGAACAGAAC